GATGAAATAGAATACCCACACCCACGCTGACCCTTAAGATTTTATATCTCAGTAAGTTAAGAAGGGTTAATAGACATCTTGTAGTCATATTATTTCATGTAACTAGTTATTCATAGAAACTTGTTTCATATATTTTACTAAACATTTCAAATAATATTAATTTAACAATTAACAATATGGTCTATACATTTATCTAATTTATTACTGTCTTATTACATAAGCACCAATATATTATTGTTATAGAACGGATAAATAATTATCAATCCATTTAATTGTCATCCATGTGACTAGAGGATACTCATATACATTTGCTACAACAGCTAATTTATCGATATTACTAAGTCCATCAATATCTTGTCTTAAAACTGCATCAAATAAAAGTTTAAATCGTTTTTCATTTCGTGTTTGACCTGAATGTGTCGCAGCATACTAATAACCACTTTTTGGTCGTTCTAGAGTACCCCGTTCAAATTTGATGACCACTATCAAACGATTTTCAGAAAATGATTCATAGTTTTGTTCAACGACGCTCATTTGAGTTTAATCTTTTTTTCTGGAATAGAGTGATCGATTTTCTACACTTCTGTCTCTTTTTTAAGGGTGGATGTGGGTATTTGATTTCATCTACACCCACACCCTCAAGTTGATTGTTGAGAAAGAAGAGTTGAGACTAGCAGATTGCCTTTGTCTTTTCATTAAGAGATAGATCGATCTATTTTTGATTGATTTACGTTACTTGTTTAGAATAAATATATTAATGAATAAAAATTAAAAAGAGAACACAAAAGTTACAGAAAAATACAATTGAAAAATAAATGTGCATTGAAATGTAAAAGCTAACTACTTTGTAAATACAAAGAAATTCTGTTAAGTCCGCTATGGTCGGAGTAGACTGGAAAAACAAAAAACTTAATAAGTCATAATAAAAAAATAGTAGCATAGATATAACATATCTGTTGTTACTATATCAATGAACACTAAATGGGACAAGTACCATTAGCATGAAGAGGAGAAGTAGGAGTATCACCATTGCAACAACAAATGCAACATGCCAAACAAATAGTATTAGAACTACAAGCAATGGTACAAGTACTAACATAACCACCATTATAAACCTGCAGACTACCAGGATAACCACCACAAAAAAAGCTACCATTAAAAGCAGGACCGGTAAAAGCAACAGCAACACCGCCAGCAGACAAACCTTCATCAACAGCAGTGCAAACACAAGGAGCTAAATGAATATATGATATCACACATAGTAAAGTGAGGAAGAGTTTTTGTCGTTAGTGTCGGATAGGCAGAGTGCAGTAATTTTGAAACTGCTTCGAACAGCCCTTATACTGCAAGGTAACCGAATAATAGGACATTCTTTCTTTCTTTTTCCATCTATATGTGAATATTAATAATACTAAAGAACTGTAGACACTAAACTACTGATATTTAAAAAGATGTCTCAGTAAATGAACTGTAGTAATTTCTGCTACTTCATACTAATGTTCGGTCTTATGTGTTAGTCCAACCGTTTGAGAAGGAAGTTCTCCCAAACCATCTATGACTACTCTATCCAAATATACACTATTGAAAACAAACTGAGACAAACAATATTCCATTTTATTTCGCCTCTTACTTTCAGTTTCATAATCCGCTTCTCAATGCCTTATGATGCCACACTTTTTCAAACAGATATGAGATGTACAGGAGAATTGATGTATTACTTACTAAGAGTTGTTGTAGTTGTAGTTGTACTTGTTGTTGTTGTAGTTATACTTGTTGTTGATGTAGTTGTAGTTGTGCTGGTTGATGTTGTAGTTGTAGTTGTGCTTGTTGATGTTGATGTTGATGTTGTACTTGTTGTAGTTGTGCTTGTTG